AAAGCCATTACAAAATACTTTGTACTACAAAGCTTGCACAAAGCACTTCCCAGTACTACTTTGTACTACCAACCTTGCACAAAGCACTTCCCAGTACCACTTTGTACTTCCAATCTTGCACAAAGCACTTCCCAGTACTTTGTACTACAAAGCTTGCACAAAGCACTTTCCAGTACTACTTTGTACTACAAAGCTTGCACAAAGCACTTCCCAATAATTTGTACTACAAAGCTTGCACAAATCACGTTCAAAGTACTACTTTGTACTACAAAGCTTGCACAAAGTCCTTCCCAGTACTACTTTGTACTACAATGCTTGCACAAAGCTCTTCCCAGTAATTTGTACTACAAAGCTTGCACAAATCACGTTCAAAGTACTACTTTGTACTACAAAGCTTGCACAAAGCACTTCCCAGTACACTTTGTACTACAAAGCTTGCACAAAGCACTTCCCAGTACTTTGTACTACAAAGCTTGCACAAAGCACTTCCCAGTACTACTTTGTACTACAAAGCTCGCGCAAAGCACTTCCCAGTACTACTTTGTATTACGAAGCTTGCGCACAGCACGTTCCAGTACTACTTTGTACTGCAAAGCTTGCACAAGGCACTTCTCAGTACTACTTTGTACTACAAAGCTTGCACACAGCTCTTCCCAGTACTATGTTGCACTACAAAGCTTGCAAAAAGTACTTCCCAGTACTACTTTGTACTACAAAGCTTGCACAAAGCACACACAAAGCACGTTCCAGTACTACTTTGTACTACAACGCTTGCACAAAGCACTTCCCAGTATAACTTTGTACTACAAAGATTCCACAGATCACGTCCGAGCACTACAAAGCTTGCGCAAAGTACTTCCCAGTACTACTTTGTACTGCAAAGACTTGCGCAAAGCACTTCCCAGTTCTACTTTGTACTACAAAGCTTGCACAAAGCGCGTCCCAGTTCTACTTTGTACTACGAAGCTTGCACAGAATACTTTCCCAGTACTACTTTGTACTAGAAAGGTTGCAGACAACACTTCCCAAAACACATCTAGCTCTGACACACAGCAAGCTTTTCCACAAAGCAAGCTCTTACACACAGCCAGCTTTTGCTACACAAAGAACGCGTTAACACACAGCAAGCTTTTACACAGAAAAGCTTGTACACAAAGAAAGCTTTTACACACAGAAAGCTTTTACACACAGAAAGCTTTATGCAAAGCAAGCTTTTACACAAGTTTTTACACAGAGAATCGTTCTGGCTCATAATGACAACAGAAATTGCAGCTCCAAAACCGGGATCTCAACGCCAAAGCGAAAAATCAGAGGATTTTGAAGCACTTTTTAAAAGGACGTTTACAAAATTGCTGGCGCCAAAATTGAAAAAATCTGCTGACAAATCACTATCGCAGCCTTGATGCAGCCACTATCAGCCACCCCAATACTATTTACGAGATCCAGCTGCAAAAGACAATAGTATTACGCATGCAGCTGCGGCACCAAGCAACCTTGACGCAGCCACTACAATGCGACCTGCAGAGACTGTCGGAAATTGCAGCTCCAAAACCGGGATCTGTCGACGCCAAAGCGGAAAAAAGACGATTTTGAAGCACTTTTTCAAAGGACTTTTAAAAGGAAAATTATTGGCGCCAAAATTGAAAAAACCTGCTGACAAATCACTGTCGCAACCTTGATGCAGCCACTCCAATACGATTTACGATGTCCAGCTGCAAAAGAGAATAGCATTACGCATGCAGCCGCGGCACCAAGCAACCTTGACGCAGCCACTGCAATGCGATCTGCAGAGACTGAGTTGCAAAACGCAATAGAACTACGCGCAACGGCGTCGGAAATTGCAGCTCCAAAACCGGGATCTCTCGACGCCAAAGCGAAAAACAAGCGAAAAAAAAGACGATTTTGAAGCACTTTTTCAAAGGACTTTTAAAAGGAAAATTATTGGCGCCAAAATTGAAAAAAACTGCTGACAAATCACTGCATTTACGATGTCCAGCTGCAAAAAAAATAGTATTACGCATGCAGCCGCGGCGCCAAGCAACCTTGACGCAGCCAGTACAATGCGTTTTGCAGCATCACGTCACAAAACCTGCACGTGGCAACGCCAGATGACAACAATCATGCAGCCATTCCAATGCGATTTGCAACCACAGATTCAAGAAACGCAAAGAAATACGCATGCAGGAACAACCACTCGCTGCAGAACACAAAGGAGGAACCAAAACAACCGCAGCCGCAGCCGCCGCACACACGAGGTACCTTTCATCGCCGGCTGCAACCACTTTACACGGAAAAACGCACGGTTTCGTGCTCCAGCTTCCTCCGCAACACAATGCCCCATGCAACATTCGTGCAGCCATTACAATGCGTTTTGCAGCATGACATGGCTAACCCGCATGCATCTACGCACATGGCATCACCAGATGAGAACAATCATGCAGCCATTCCAATGCGATCTGCAACCACAGATTCAAGAAACGCATAGAATTACGCACGCAGGAACAACCACTCGTTGCAGAACACAGAGGAGGAACCAAGTTGCGGATGAAACTACCCACCCGCACCCACCGCACACAGGAGGTGCCTTTCATCGCCGGCTGCAACCACTTTACACGGAAAAACGCTCGGTTTCGTGCTCCAGTTTCCTCCCCAACACAATGCCCCATGCAACGTTCATGCAGCCACCACAATGCGTTTTGCAGCATGACGTGGCTAACCCGCATGTATCTACGCACATGGCAACACCAGATGACAACAATCATACAGCCATTACACGAGTGTATTGTTATGTGATGTCAAGTCTCACACCACAGTCTCACACCACCCTTCATTGAGCGCATTGTTATGTGATTTCAAGTCTCACGCCACAGTCTCACGGCACCCTTCATTGAGTGCATTGTTATGTGATTTCAAGTCTCACGCCACAGTCTCACGGCACCCTTCATTGAGTGTATTCTTATGTGATGTAAAGTCTCACACCGCCCTTCATCAGGTAAAAGTCATCCGTAGCTCGGAAGATTGCTTCCCAACTTTCTTTGATAAGTTATGATCCATTTGCAGATGGCACCCACTCACGGGACTCACTAAGCTATGGATGAAGCCCTGAGAAAGATCACATCCCAAAGATGCACAGCTTGCTTGTTGGATATTTGCCTAGAGTAACCCCCAAAAAGATGGAAACAAAACACAACTATATACCAAAATAGTGTCTCTGTCTTGTTTTTGTTTGGGTTATTATAAATAATATATATATATGTGTGTTATTATACCATATTATACCCCAGTATTGGTTGTCGACGGCTTGGTACCAAGTCCAGGACTCTGCTGTGCGGTTTGATCCAAGTCCACCTGGCGGACTTGGACCGGGACCGGGAGGGAACCTAGGTGAAAACAATCGCTGGACATTTGGCAAGTTCATGTAAGTTCATAGGTTCATAGGGTTCATAGCTTCATAGCTGTACATTTGGTAAGTGCAGGGATGTTCGATGATGTTCGTCCCCTCCAAATATGCTAAGTTTATGTAAGCTCTGACACGTTTTGACCCATTCTCGCGTGACATTTCAGGGGGTGAACTCGCTTAGAACTTCTCCTGAGAATTGGCAGCATCTGGATAGGGTATAGGTCCAAAAGGGGAATCCAAAATTCACTGATTCATCATGATCTTTCCCATTGAAATTGAGTTGGTGATGATAACCATGACCCTGAAACGACCAACAATTGGGTCTATCATGGTCTATCGGTCTATATTGATGAACTAACCATGGACAAAAATGGGAAAAAAAGGTTTCAAAGTAGAAATCACTGGTAGGGCCTCCATTTCTTGACCCGTACCGCCGCGTAGGACGCCCGAAGTCGGTGCGAAAAACCCGCAGTCTTTGCGAGTTCGCCGACTTCGCCGTCAGCGTTCATAACAGTCCACTGGGAGATCTGCCACCACTCTGCGTCTTTCATGTGTCAACTGTGCCGGGAACAGAATTACCATGAATTGCCCATATCATCCATTATCATCCATTATCATCCATTATCATCCATTATCATATTCACCCGTGGTGAGCAATGGCCGTTCTTGTGAGAGCTACTGAGCCCGTAGTGAAACCAGCTGCAACATTTGTGTCTGCACACTGGCTACACTCGGGCTCTGGAAATTCCGGGTGCAACACAGCTGTCAAATGCACCCGTCTGGGGTATCCCGAATTGAGTTCAAACCAAAGAATCCAAAGAATGTCTCGAAAAAGAGACCGTTTTTCTTTCCCTTGCGATTTATTCAGAAGTTCCAAATGGCCCACCCACTTCTTTTCTCTGATGCTCACATCATGACAGCCCTGAAGCCCCCGAATTTCTGGAGGACACCCTATGTGACCCTCAGCAGGCTTTGTCTCTGCAAAAGGGTGGCCAGGAGGCCCAGATTGAAGGTGTGTCCCAAATTTGCGGACTTCCAAGATAAGTTTATGTGTGAAAAACCCGGGCGGTGGTTGACGTTTTGTATTTTTTGGGACTTATACAACTTTCTTTGTTTTGGGGATGATCATAATAAGCCATCAACTTAAAATTTTAAATGCCTACTGTCGAAGCATCGGTGTCCTCAGCGATGATTTGGGACAGAACTTCCGGATCCTAAGGGTCCTAGTCCTGGTAAAATCAATGGAGAATCTGATAGAATCTGGACAGTCGACTTCCTGTTTCAAAGGATGGAAGCCACAAGTGCCGGATGATCTATGCCCAGAGTTAGGTTTTGAGTCAAACAGGGGTAACAACACTACTTCTGCAAGGCCAGGTATTGTGTGAATCTCATTGTGTGAATCTCAAATCACCTACATCAATATACCATATATATATATATGAACATCTATGGAAATCTTCTCTGCTGCATTGTGTATATACCGGATCTAAGATGATCTAGGTATGTTCACTGGCTGCGTAGACACCCATGGTTGGTGATGGAAGAGACCTACTCCACACAGCACTGGTGCATAAATTCATCCCGGCGCCGACGCCGGCATTTAAAAGCCGATCCGCAGGCATGAAGTCTTGGTACATGTGAAGAATGCCACCAGAACCAGTAGGGCGATACCTTGCAGCGGATGCCAACATCGAGCTGAACATCACCATCATGGCACTGAGGGATGTTACCCTCTATGGCGACCAGCATGTCTCAGCTCTGTTTATGTTGCCATGTACTGTAGACGTTTGTAGATTGTAGATGGTAAGTTAGAGATTTTTGTTCCCATTTAGTGTTATATATAAGGTGTTATATAATGTTATATATATATACAGTATATATATATATAAATACATATGATGCTGCAGCAACTGAACTGTCCTGCTTTTACCACTCCTGGCCCATGGCTGATTGAGATTTTGATATGTCTTTTTATGTCTTTTTGGTATCCCTTGAAGTTCAACCAATGATAGTTGGGCTGTCCCAACAACTTCCACAGCCTGCCTGGGTTTCTGTAGCAACTCCGCAACAGTCTTGGCAAAGTCAAGCACGTGAGGTCACTAGACGGCCTCGAGAAAGCGAGCTGCACCAGGGATAAAACCAGTCATCACGGAGTTGTTACGCCTGTTAAGAAGTTGAAATTCGGGGCGAAGCCCCCATTCTGAAAAGCGCTTGCCCCGTCTGACACTATGGCACACTATGGTGTCGTTTCCTTGGAGAAGGGGGACGGATAGCATCCTGCAAATTACAAAGCTGGATAGCCAACAGTAGAAATACAACAGAAGACTTGAATCTGCCCAGCTAGTTGCTAGGTTTGTTGACATCTTTGGCTATCGTTAACCTGCAACTTATCAGTTGGGCAGGTTGACTTCATCATCACACGCAATTTTTGCGGGATCCCCTACCAAGTGGTATCTCTACACTATGTATATGACTGTATATGTCTATGTCTAATACGTACATATATATTATATACACTACAATTACGTGCTTCTGAAGATACATTACATGAATCATGCGCGTTTGTGAACATCCATAAGTACATATCATGCATATAAATACTTCCGGGTACATCTACATATTCTATGTATAGACATACGAGTACACATTCTACATCCGCTTAATATAGCGCGATGTGATGGTTTTGACATCAGGAACCATGAGCGCTCTGCTCAAATTAATGTGCTGCCAAACCACCCGATGTGTCGAAATCCATCCAGGTGTTCTTGCCATTGCCTGATATTGAAGATGCATGTTCAAGCGAAGTGAAGTGAGATGTGGCAACATATGCAACAAAGGCAGGCAAATGGAACCAATCATGGACATATTATAATCATGGTATATCATGGTGATGCATTGGTGTCTACACAGCAGGAGACTGGTCTTCCCACTATCCCCTCTCCTCAAAAAAATCAGTGCTAGTTTCCATGGTGCGAAAACAAACCATGACCTGCCTTTTTGTGGGTCCTTGGTTGCCACCAAGCAGGGCAACAGGAATTATGAGATGAGTCTGATGATTGTTCACCATCAAGAAGCAATGGCAAAGCCTGATGCTTAGAGTATTGATAACCATTTGTATGTCCATCAAACCACTTGCTTCCGGGCGTTGCGCGCTGTCCAAAGGCGAGACAGTCAACCAGTGCTAGTAACACTATTAAGTTTTAAGAGAAAACCAAAGGGCTTCCAACAAACTTAAGTGTCAAATAGCGCGGAAAACTGAGCCTCGACAATTCTTTCTCTATCAGTGCAGTTTTTGATCATAGGGAAATTCACCAGGGTAAATGGAAGTGACATACGGTTTTACCACAGGCCTGACGATGGTGACTCACTTCACAATTTCTGGCAGGATGTGTCAGCCCCAACGTGAAATCGAACATCTACAGTATGTGTACATTTTCATATATACACATATTTATGGTGTGTGTGTGTATCTGTAAATATACACACACACACTATATATATATATATTATATGTAGATATAGCGCACACACACACACATGTGTGCATATATCTCTATCCAGGGTCCCTGCCCTGGGGGATCATGCTGCCCTTCCAAAACAAACCGGACTCCTGAAGTGCACTTCACGTCTGCATTCGCAGCGATTCCTGTAGAGGAATCGCTACTGATGAGCACCGTGCACCGTGCTAAAGCAACACAGGTGGAGATGTAATCTGGGAAACTCATGGAAACTCAATAATACACCTACCATGTATTCCATTTGGGGATGGTTTTTACAAGTTTTTACCACCCATAAAATGGTGATAACTTGGGAATGGTTTACCATTGGGTTCACCACATGTTACATATCTTATTTCAAGCTACTGATGCTGATCGGGTGTATATATACAAATATATGGCATTATCTGGCTATGGAGAGCCAACATGGTACGCCTGTTTGGACCCACAAAAGACAAAAGATTTGTTACTTTCAGAATCTAACCATCCAATCTAGGATGCACATCCAAGTATGGGTTAGATGAGCGTATGATGAGAATTGTATGGAATTAAATGAAATTATTACATTCTTTGCCTGAACAACTTGACGATGCGATGACTGATCATTGGGGTCGGTTATTCGAAATTGCTAGGATCTTGATGAAAGCAAATTGAGGAACTCCAGTATGTGTAGCACTGAGATGGGGGGTTCCTAAAATGGGGGTACTCCAAATCACCATGGCTTTCAATACTAAAACTGTCTGATTTTTTGATGATCGGGGGTACCCCTATTTCAGGAACCCCCCAGATGTGTTTCTACGGTTTTGTGTCTTGTTTTTGGTGCCGGGCATCTGAGAGGATCGCGACTGCTGTCATTTTTTGCATCATACTATCAACATAACATTGGGTGGGGGGGTGGGTGGGGGGGGGGGGGGGGGGGGGGGGTGGGATAATAACGTCATTGGCACGTCCACACATACGTGATGCAACATTACTGTACGCTCTCTTGCACTTCATTCATATCCACACATACGTCATGCTACGCTGCTGCAGGTTCTCTTGCTCTTCCACACATACGTCATGCTACGCTGCTGTAGGTTCTCTTGCTCTTCCACACATACGTCATGCTACGCTGCTGTAGGTTCTCTTGCACTTCCACACACACACACACACGTCATGCTACGCTGCTGCAGGTTCTCTTGCACTTCCACACATACGTCATGCTTCACTGCTGTAGGTTCTCTTGACAACGATGATGATGATGTTGATGATTATGATGTTGTTGATGATGATGATATTGCTTATGAAACAAAAGTTTCGATTTTGAGCCTTTTCAATTCCCCCATATAAAATGTTTGAAAAGTGACGACGGTCGCGAGCCTTTCAGATGCCCGGCACCTTGTTTTTGCCCATCCCCACTTTGAAGGTTTGGGCATCCTGTTGGAAAGGAAGGGATTTACAGTAATCTCACCAGTTGTCATGTCACTTTAAAGGGCCCGTTCACCAAGTGTGGATTTGGACAAGCTCCCTGGCAACCATTCTTGTTGTTTACAGTCCCCTTTCACCGTGTCACATTCTGGTTCTCTTGCTTCCTATATTTCCCAATGTTTACCCACTCACTACAGTGTCTCTACTTGAGGAGAAAACGCTTTCCCCTGGCTTTGTCTGAACATAGTTCACCAAAATCGATTTAGCATAATTTTCACAAAATAAAATGCCCGCCAACTTGTTTATACCCACTTATATTTGGCACAAATAATGGTTGTTCCCCTCTTCCAGTGGTGCTGTCCTGCTGATGCACACGTTGTCGATGGCTCCGCAGGTTAGCAGGGCGAGCAGTTTGAAGATTAGGTCAATGAAGAAGCTCAAACACCTGGGATTGAGAATTTTTCTATATATTTTGTAAATCAACATCAATTGATGTACCTTTAATATATGTGTGCATTTTGATTTGCTATCCTTTTTTTGGGGGTTACTACAAAATATATAGCCCGTGGTTGATGTGTATATCTATAGGAGCACCCAAAAAATAGAACCGTTTTTCTTCACTATTTTAGTGGGATTTGACTTTTCATGACGGAATAATCTTCTTGGGGGTTGCTACATATGTAATTCCGAATTACATATGTAGCAACCCCAAAAAAGATTATTCCGTCATGAAAAGTCAAATCCCACTAAAATAGTGAAGAATTCCTTCTATATATATATAGTATCAATATTGATACATTTAAGTATATATCGGATATATTGACACCATAATATTCAACCACTTATTTATATATATATATAATCTTCAATATGACACCTTTATTGGTTGGAAAAGCACGTCTCCATTATCATACTGGCATTTGGGTCCCCCATGAATAACAATGGGGGTATGATAAGTTAAACGATCATGAGGATCGTAAAAGGGGCTACATGAGCAACTGATATGCTATTTGGTTGGTGCGGGGATCTTTATGTCAACTAGAAATAAATTGGTACTGTATATAATGGGTATATTATGGTATATTAACGAATAGTCTGGGCAACACATTTCTCATCGACTTGGAGAGAGGTATGGCAACCATGATATGGGGATATACTGGGGACAACATGTGACAAACTGGCATATAACAGGATATATCTATATTCACATATATATATATATATATATATATATTCACATATGTATATAACTATAAAAATGTAGCTATATAACAATATAACAATATAACTATATAATTACGTATATAACTTTATAACCAACAAATACTATATGTTGGGGAAATAACGGAAGTTCATGACCTGAATATGGCACTGCCTAGGGGTTTAACCATAACTGGTGTATATTGATTCGAAGCATGTGGGATGAAAAGCCGCCCTTCATACTTTCAAAAGACTTCGTAAAACCATAGATTTCCTATGGTTTCCAATGGATCCTCAACCAGCCAGTACACCCTTTGAAAACAGTTCCACCTGGGCACAAGGTAATCCATGGATTCGGGAAGTGCGTGGATTTACTGCTTGGTGGTTGACCTACTGTACCCCTCTGAAAAATGATGGGGTTCGTCAATGGGAAGGATGACATCCCATCTATGGAAAATAAAATTCATGTTCCAAACCAATGATTTATCAGAATTTTTGGGGGTAACCTCCCCCAATTGAAGGTTCTTAATCCAGAGTTGACATTAAACGATAATTTCCACACCTCTAAGAGAAAACGGAGATCACGCGCCCCTGAAGCAGTCATCCAAAGTTCAGGACTCCCATTTCCTAAATACTCACCTCTAACATTTGGGTTTGTCTAAAAATAGGCTACCCCTAAACCTAGTCTTAGTGGTTCATTGGTTCGTCATCATGTTCCCTATTAAGATCACCATGATTCATCATATTCCATAATTCTGGGATATTCTAGGGCGGAAATCTCCATTTAATTTCAGACCTATCCATCATTTGTAGCCAGATATAGTTTGATCCGCAGACGTCGCAGTCTTTTCCCAGGCCTCACGATCATTTCGGTCTCCATCATGGGAATGTTTCGTTGTACCACCGCCCAGCGCAGGAGGTAGAAGTAGCCACGTTGGAAGGCCCGATCCTCGATGCGGATAGGAATTTCACCCCAGTCGATGGTTCGTCATGGGGGATGCCCAATCGAGACCATGGCTTTCAAGACTCAAATGGTCATCCATGAGGATGATTTTTGGGATACCCCCTATGACTTAGGAAACCTCCATATGGAAAAATATGGCCATTCTTGATGGGGATGATGATGCACTGATGGAATGGGGTTTTCCCAAAGTTTTTCGGCTATCAGATCCGAGTCTGGATATGTCTGGAGTCACTTTGGAATCGGAATCATCCCATAGCATCCCCGGGTCCAGCCACGGCCCCACGGTGAAAAACGTGCGACCGATGCGCGAAACTGAAATGGGCGTGTCTGAATCTTTAGAAACTGGGTACTGGAAGGATATGTACTCTGATTTCAGACACACCCATTTGCTGAACCCTTCAAACTCGAGGGCGCTTGGCAGCAACAGCAGCAAGGGTTTCAAAGTATTGATTTGTCTAGGAATGGCTGGGTGCTTTGTATGCCATTGATACCCATTTATTTCTTCCACCAACCATTTAGAGGCAGCTAGTAGACGTTGGAAAATTAAGGCCATGATGGTCATTCAATCATTCAATTCACCCATTTCCAAACAAACCACGAAAAGCGGAACAATCCATGGGCTGCGCCAACAAGACATGAAAAATCCGGGCTCATAAAGGCCGAGCCGACCAGATTCCAAAGAAGGGCGCTGAGAGAGAACACTGATAACCTTGGCAATCGAGTCGTCACTGGATATGACGCAGATATCGCGCAAAAACAAATGGTGAGTCAAACCCTTGGCACCCTAGAGACGCTTAATGGATGTTTATTCCCCCAGTCATATGGTCATTTTCGCTTAATGGTTTTGGTTTTGACTTGGTTTGACCCATCCCCAGCTGGCTGTCTAGATCAAACCGGATGAAACCAAGCGACCAAATCTATGAGTGCGCAAGCAATGTGCTGGCCTCGACATGCCAGCGATGCGTTTCCATGGTGTTCCTTGGCGGCATAAACATCTGTTGACTGACAGGGAGAGTTGAAGAGTGGCTGAATACCTGGAGTCACCAAATGACTAACACCAAGTACCCCGTGGTCACAACTGGGTCACCAGGGATTCTCAAATTCTGACCAGAAATTAGCCAAAAAGCAACTGCCATCTCATTCTGTTCATGGGACCCCATCATGGCCAAATTTGCCCAAAGGCTCTTCGAAGAATGCTTGTCCAAAAGGTATCCACTCAATGCTCTCACTGGAGATAAACCTCTTGGCACCTCGACTGGTGCTGCAACTGCTCTGTAGGATGTGGCAAACTTGGGCGACCCTCAAATTCAACCCAGCAGTTTCACGCTGGTGGGGATCCTCTTATTTCTTATACATATTCCTCAAGAAAATCGATATTGGAATGTCGATCCAAGATAACTTTGGCTCCAAAGCCGATATTATCGCCACAACTACAGTCTAGTTTCTCTGGTTTTGGTTAAGACGCTTAAGGTTATAGGTTTACCAAAAAAAAACATTAAAAAGAACCATCCATTCCTGGACCCCCGAACCCCCCAAGCAGCTCCAACCAGGCCGCGAAGGCTTCGTAGGAACATGGCTCCCAGCAGATGGCCCCCCAAGCCCTTGCCCCAGGTGCTGAAGCCTTCGCACCTCGGCAGATCGTTGATGGTTCGTGGGCAGAAACGTGGCATCTTTCAGGCCTTAAAAACACAAGATGTTAATGAAGGCTCATCTACCCATAAGCCACGTCATGCCATGTGTATATATATAATATATATATATATATATATTTATCATTCTTTGCTGAGATCTTGAGGTGTTGAAGTGGGACTGAGTATGATAAGAACACAGCAAAAACATGGATGTTAGCAGGTAAGCCACCTTCCAACGGGAACTGGAACTGTACCAAGTGGATTTGCATCTCAGGCTAACAATTCCTAACACTCCTAAATGGAAAAGAAGTCATAACTGGGCTATACTGTAATGGGTCCCATTCTGTTCCGTTCATAAATATCCACAAATATCTGTACAGGCTGTGTCTGAAAATGGGTTCAACATGGAAAGGCATATGTGCTACCCCCAAGTTCATTCAATTCCCAATGGGTATATAATCCTCATCTTTCCCTTAAAGCCAGAACCACATCTTTGGACTCTCCGTGGCCATAGCCGTCCCAGTGACACGGCCAAAGTCAAGTTCCGCGCGTGTCCGCCTGATGCCCCAAAGATTGGTCACCAATTCTATGGTCCAAAAACGCGAAACACCAAAAAAAAACTCAGTTTGATTCCAGGTAGTACGCAAACATCTCCACATAAGCACCTGTAATAGACATACATATATATATATATATAAGATATATATATAAGTATATATATATCATATTATTTTGTCATATTGGTGATGAGAGAGGTACAGAACACCTCAAAGAAATGAAGATGATCATTTCACTCAGAAGTAGAGACAGTGGAGTGTTCCAAACGGACTCTGTGGTCCCGTGGTCCCAAAGCCTGGGTATACAGCCCTAGGCCTCATCTCATCTCTGTTGCTTCCGTTGTCATATGGAAAATCATTGGGCTTTCTGGGCCAGGAACTCCAATCAATATGGCACACTATACGTGGGATTTTCACAATGTTCATGCAGTGCACAGCACTTGAGGTTCCCAACCTTGAAATCCCTCGGCTGCGAAGTAGAAGAGCTCGTTGATGTCCTGTTTCTAGCTGCTGAGTGCAGTTTGTGACGGCCTCACTAACTGATGTCCCACATGCTAACCTGCTCCAACATGCAGGGCTTTATTAGTTGGAGACTCATGCGTGTCTTTGTACGTCTGATAGTATGTGGATGCCGTATAGTTAAAGATACTTGGAATCCCAATCAGAATGCATTTGTTCCAAGTTCCAAACATCGATAAATAAATGCAACATAATGCAACGCAGGTTTGCATTTAGCAATTGATTTCGCACTATCTAGGCATGGTTCCTCATAAATATATATATATATATATATAATTTTATATAATGATCTGAAAGTGTCATCCCCAAACTACCAGTAATACTGAAAATAACAACAAAAAGTATGGTTGTCAGAACCCAAAGTCATGGTCCATGCACCTGGAAGAACCCCCCGGCGCCTGTAGAATTCCAGCAGCATCATTCACGTCGTTGCAGGGGTTGAATTCCTAGTTCCGAGGCGAAACTTGGACCCTGAGACTATCTCCGAAAAGACGGAAAGATCCAAACGCTTGAGATTGTTAAATCTATCCAGCTCTACGTCGTGGCCTACTGAAGTTTTTCCTAGTTTTCGTACATCACAAGGAGCAATCCCAACATGAGACCCATATCTTCGTGGAAGTGGACGGCCCAGAAAGTCTCTTGGCAGCATCCTTCCCAGCCTTGGAAAATTATATCCAAGTGGCATCCAGAATCCCATGAAGGTTCCCCAAGACCTCATGAGAGGGGTCCGATTTTTTCCGATTGCGTCACGTACCTAGGCTGGAATGAAAAAAACATGCATGATCTTTTCGGTAGTGATTGTTCCAACCAAAACGCCAATAATAATGATCAATTTCCGAATACTCAAATGGTGCGAAAAAAATAACAATATTAATATCAACCAATACTCGAAATGACAAAGCAGGATCGGATTCAAGTGGTGTGTTTTGATATCTGAACCTCATGAAGATGCTATGCCTGAAGGACTGATTTTGTGATATTGGAACCATGGTTCCATTGACTTGCTCAACATGGTCTGCTTAGTGGTTCAACTTCACTAATGTATAATCGTCATCAGGGATCATGACCATAGTAGTTCCAAAAACAGGAGCAAAAAAATACCATATAAGAAATCATAGGATCCAAGATGATCCAATAAAGCACATTTGAAACCATAATCCCATGGTTGAGACAAGGAACGCGCCACAGGTGCAACCAATCGTCGATTTCCTGAGTGTTAAGGAGGGTGCTACCAATACATTCTATGGTATGCATATACAGTATACATACATTATATTATAGATACACATTGTATTCGATGTATACAGTTTATTACATGTACTGTATATATATATATATGTATACACAATATATATATATACATATGAATAATATTATATATATATATACTCATACATGTATTATGTGTATATATACATATATATCAGATGGTTGTTAGCGATGAATATTCGATACGCCATACCTCTATAATATATATATATATGCATATATATATATTGTGTATATATATATTGTGTTGGTTGACTAGCCATCCTTTGATTAAGCACCCGTTTAAACATGGCCCGTCTCTTTGGCACTCTCCTTACATCTCAAGCATCTTGGTCGCTCAGTGAGCGCTGAAAACCGTTGAGAACGATGTCCAAGGAGATGATCCCAAAGGCCATCCTGTCGATGTCGATGGATGTCCCACTTGGATTTTGACCACAGGATATGTTGGATGGATCAACATGGAGTAATATGGTTTAATATGGTTTACCAGGTAACGCCGGGGCGGAAGTTTCGATAATAAGAAATGGCTATACGAACCAGTTTGTTTATAGGAATTCTTGGTGAGCTGGGAAAAGTGAATTGCCAGAAATGAAAATGACATGAAAATGACATGAAATGAAAATGAAATGAGAATGAAATGAAAATGAAATGAAAATGAAATGAAAATGAAATGAAAATGAAATGAAAATGAAATGAAAATGAAACGAAATGAAATGAAAATGAAATGAAAATGAAATGAAAGTGAAATGAAAATGAAATGAAAATGAAATGAAAAAAGAAAATGAAAAATGAAAATGACATGAAAAATGAAAATGAAATGAAAATGAAATGAAATGGAAAAAAGAATGAAGGAAAGAATGAAGGATCGAATGTAGGAGAGAATGAAGGAATGAAGGAATGAAGGAAGGAAGGAAGGAATGAATGAATGGATGGATGAATGAATGAATGAATGAATGAAGCAATCAATCAATGAATGAATGAATAAATGAATGTATGAAGGAATGAATGAATGAATGAATGAATGAAGGAATGAATGAAGGAAGGAATGAAGGAATGAAGGAATGAAGGAATGAAGGAATGAAGGAAGGAAGGAATGAATTAATGGATGAATTAGCACATGAATAAATGAATTAACACATAAATGAATGAATTAACACATGAATGAAGGAATGCATGAATAAATGTAAAAATGACGTGAATGAAAGAATGAAAGAATGTAAGAATGAAAGAATGAAAGAATGTAAGAATGAAAGAAGGAAAGAATGATTGTGATTGAGTGAATGAATGAATGAATGAAGGAATGAATGAACGAACGAACGAATGAATGAATGAGTGAATTAATGAATGAACGCGTGAATGAAGGAAGGAAGGAAGGAAGGAAGGAAGAAATGCATGGATGAAAGCCTGAATCAGTGAAATTTGCCAATCATCTTCCAAAAGTGCTCCGAACGCTTCAGTTCTTTTAACGATTGATGTGACCAACTACTTACTTGATGATGATGTGGTAGACATATGAAATCGAGCTCGCGCTACAGTCTCGTGCACCTTTTCCCGACCTCATCTGCCAAAAGTGCTCCGAATGTGGCAGTTTTTACGTTGTTCATGTGAAACCGAGCTCTCGCTACAGTCTCGTGCACATTTTGCCACCTCCATCTTCCAACACCGAACGCCTCAGTTTTTCAACATTTTCAAGTGGAAACCGAGCTCTCGCTACAGTCCTGTGCACTTTTTGTCGACCGCTTTCCCCGATCGAGCCGCGCAACCGCGGAAACAGAGACCCTCCTTCGGCGACCGCGGAAGCCACTTTACCTGAATTTCAGGTTTTCGCACCCGGGAGTCTTTTCAAGCCTGAATTCACGCGTTGCCGCGTTCCCGGCCTGGTGATGACGTGCTTGACATGATGAGGTGGTTGACATAATGGTAGAGATGATGATGTGGTTGCCGTGGTGGTGAGAAAGGTGGCCATGACAATCGTCCGTAGCTCTGAAGTTTCCTAACTAAACTTCCATTGAAATGCATTGATATGGATGATGTTAATCTGGCTTATCTTCAAAGTTGGCAAATACGGATGGCTCAATCATGCTTCGTGGCTATTCATGGATCTGCGGCCAGAAACTTTGGCCAAGTGGCTTTCAATCCGTCCAAAATGCGGTTAATGGGGATTATTATTCCAAATCATTTGTATGTAAAACTGAGCCTAATTTGAAACGACCCACACAGCCATTGTTGGACATCCACCATATTCATGGGTTCTATTCAGATTTCTATTGGGTAAAGGAGACAAGTCCAGTGAAAACCATTGGTTTTTCCGGCAAGTGGCAGAGTGAAAGCCAAATCATATTGAGAAATCGGCATCTCCGCATGTCCATCTCGACATCGACGCCTCACCTGATTCCAATCTGGAGGATCCCGAGGATACCACATCAACGAGAAGTTCACCAGGTTGACCGATATTTGGAGAATTCGCACGTTTCAAAAACCTGGCCTTTGGAAAAAGAAACAAGGTGTCTCATGAGCCGATATTCATGGAATATGACAAGATATGACAAGATAATAGATTCCAAATGCTGAACATTGACCAATTGCTATCTTGAAAACTCAAAATCTCCAACAATATCCCCAAAGAAGAGTTGAATGACCTTCTCACTGGAAAGAGTTTTGGTTTCTACATGTTTCTGGGCGATGATATCCCCTTCCCTTGGAGCCAGAGTCGCCAACGCATGCATGGCGCGAACCTTTAAGATGGACTGAGTTGTCTCGGAGACATCATCGACTCGCAGGAGGCAGTTGGGTCGTTGGTTGCAGGGAAAGTCTTCTGCAACCGATGAATATAGCAGGTTCACATTCGCAGCTAGATATGGAAGTTGGTCTGCAGATTTTGCATTTCATCATTGTGGGAATGATCTCTGCAAAACTTGGGGCTCGTCCAAAAGCTTGTCATGGAACGCGAATCACATGGGTCAGTAGAACATTACAAAGCAATTGTTTTCAGATCTTGGGAGTTGGAAGCACTGTGGTAAATCAAAAACCAATGCGTTGAACAGTTCATGAAATATACCCAGTCAAATAATCAAAATTGTTCTGGTTCACTATTAGCTTCACCACATTACCGATAAAATCTGCCCAACGTTATCGTGTTCCACTTTGTTGCTGTTTGGCAATAATCTTACCCCGTTTTTGGTATGTCATTGGCACCTCTATCCATATACCTATACCAGTAGTGGCGCACAAGGCGGTGGCGGAAGTTTCACAGACAGGACACTATAGGAGAGGTGAGTTGTTGCGAGGCGTGGATGGCAGAGCGAATCCACTGATGGGCCGAAAGGTGTTTGGCGTTGTGTTTTTTGGAATGGTCGCAATGGTTGCAGAGGTCACCTCACCCACAACTGCTGGATGTAGTATGGTGTAGTGCAACTGTAGTTGTAGTTGTAGTGTAGTGTAATTAGTGTAGTGTAGTTGCAGTTGTAGTTGTGGTGTGGTGCAGTGTAGTTTAATGTAATGTAGTGTAGTGTAGTGTGCTGTAGTTTTGTGTGCTGTGGTGTAATGTAGTCTAGTGTAGTGTAGTGTAGTTGCAGTTGTAGCTGTAGTTGTAGTTAGTGTAGCTTAGTGTCGTGCAGTGAAGTGTAGTGTACTTTAGTGTAGTTGTAGTTGTAGTTGTAGTTGCAGAGTTGCAGTGTAGTGTAGTGTAATTAGTGTAGCGTACTGTTGTGTGATGTAGTGCAGTTGTAGCTGAAGCTGTACTCGAGTGTACTGTATTGTAGTGTAATGTAATTAATTACTGTAGTGTAATGTAGTGTAGTTGCAGTTGTAGCTTTAGCTTTAGCTGTAGTAGTAGTAGTAGTAGTAGTAGTAGTAGTAGTAGTAGTAGTAGTAGTAGTAGTAGTAGTAGTAGTAGTAATAGTTGCAGTTGTAGTTGTAGTTGTAGTTGTAGTGTGACCAGTGTAGTGTACTGCAATTAGTGTAGTGTAGTGTTAGTGTAGTGTAGTGTAATTAGTGTACTGTAGCGTAGTATGTTTGTATTTGTAGTTGTAGTGGTAGTAGTAGTGTAGTTTCGTTGCAGTTGTAGCTGTAGTTGTCTGCCTGTCTGTCTGTCTATCTGTCTATCTATCTATCTATCTATCGATCTATATGTTTATCTATCTGTCTATCTACAAGCTTGAAAACGAAGCTATTCTGCGAGACTTCCTCAATTTTTGAACTTGACGACGTCAAAATCGAAGCTATTCTGCGAGACTTCCTCAATTTTTCAAGTTGACAACACCAAAAATGGAAAGTTGAGGGCAGAGCTGACGGCTTCGTGCCAATGCGCATTGCTATTTTTCCATTCCATCTGTTTAAAGTACTGCGCCTGCCACGAAAAAGTGAAGCCGGGGTCATACGTAGTGATAAACCTGTCTCGCAAAATCATCTTAGCAAACCTGAAGATCTGATGCTCCAAAATGCAACTCCTCTCAACATCTCTGATGAACATGTTTCTTGTACTGCGCCTGCCACGCGAAATCCATCTTTGCAGATCTTCTTCAAATGTCCTACAGCCTGCCATCGTTTTTGGAAATGCTACAAAACTTTCACGTTTTGCTCACTTTTGGCAGGGTGCAGAATCCCTTGCGCCTGCCACACAAAACGAAGCTTCAACGTCCAAAAGTGGCGCGAACATTTGGTGTTTTGAGCACTCTGACTTCGAAATGTGCTTCGTGCCACCACGGTGTGTACTTTTTCGACATTTGAACTTCCAATAGTGCTCAAGCTGAAGTGTTTTGTACATTTTGACTTCGAAATGTGCTTCGCGCCACAACGGCGTGCACTTTTTGAACATCTCAACTTCCCAAAGTGCTCCGAACCCGTCAGTTTTTTACACGTTTGACTTCGAAATGTGCTTCGCGCCACAACGGCGTGCACTTTTTCAACATCTCAACTTCCAAAAGTGGTCCGAACCCCTGGTGCTTTTAACATTTTGACTTCGAAATGTGCTTCGCGCCACAACGGCGTGCAATTTTTCATCTCTCATCTCCCCAGATGGCTCCGCACCCGCCGCTTTAGCGAGCCTACTTTTCGACCCTCCGGAGCCACAAACCATTGGAAAAACACAGTGAATCGCGACTTTTCTACCTTTTCCTGCACCTGCACCTTCTTTCTTCTGACTCTCTCTTCTCTGATCTTCTCTCTTCTTCTCTTCTCTTCTCTTCTCTGACTCTTCCGAACCTGTTCATATTGTCGGAAGTTTGACTTCTAAACTTCCTTCGATAAATACGCGTAATATCATAAATAAGCAAATCTAATTATACACTATGTATTATTGCACATAATCGTGAGATATACATGATTGTGACATATACACAATCAAATATATATATATGTATATATATGTGTGTATTATAATAAAATTATATATATATATATACAATGTTGTAAACATAGCCAGAACATGTGGCTATCTTCTTGTGCCACCCATCCGCTGCACCTGCCAGGCCCTCATCGCAGCACCAGGTCAACACATGCCGCAACGTCTCATGGAAGCGACGGAAGGCGCTCTTCGGCGAGGAGGTGTAGCCACTGCGCACCAAGACGTCGGCGAAACGATCAACGCCTTAGAGGAACAACGGGTAAGTGAAGGGGTGTACGGATTAACAACAATATTCTTATAGTACAATGATATACAATTATAATACATAAGGTATATAATTACAAGATACTTGTAAGATACTGATAGTATACTTATAAGATACTTGTAGTATACTGATAAGATACATACAGTATACCTACAATATCCTAACATTCTATAATTAATTGAATTGGGTTTCGTATTGCTTCAATGTTATGGGATACACGCACGCATGTCACATATATACATCAAAATTGCGGTCTAGCGATAAGCAATAAATGAGCCGTAACATGGAAACACATGGATATATAACTATACCACCCTGTGAAATATGGACTATGATTGACTATGCTCCTGGGTTCACCTATAGTGAAGTACTTCTTGGGATATCTTACAATTCAATACATGATCCATCTGCTGCAAGCCACCCCCTCGAGGTCATCGAAGCCCCACCTCCTTTCCAAGGCTCGGCATCCCCAGATGAGCGCTATCTCGAAAGCACAGAAAAAGTCAAAGCCATGATCTCGAAAGACTTGTTGTCCCCTTCGCATTTTCGGCCTGGCACTGGCTATCACTGGCTCCACGAAGATCCAGCCACCAGGAACTAATTATAGTAGATGCCACTATATGCCACTATGAACATTGCCAAAATCATCAAAAATCCTTCCTGGCACCAAATAACCCACCACGCCACTCATCCCACGGCCTGTCAGCCCAGCATGGCAAACGCAGTGTGACGCGCGCAGGCACTTTGGCTGCGCAGTATGACGCCCGCTGAGAGCTGCTACGGAGAAGCGTCCCGCTATTGGCCAATTGTCGCAACCTGGAAATTTGTAGCCCCCAATCGGCCATATCTCACTAAATCTTGCCACTTGCAACATCGTGCACCGTGAACCCTGTGGAATGTAACGAAAACATGGGCTTCTGACATGATTTTTTGACATCAGCCCTCTTGCCTACATACCGGCTTTTTCACAGACCCTCCCTGACATTCAAAGACTGGAGACATTGAAATCAGCAGTGCGCAAGACCTGACGCCATCCCATTCCATCTACTGATTGATTTACACTCCTCAAATGGCTTGCCATCGGATTTTTGGAAGCCAAGCTTGATGGTTGCTGTAAATCCCCAAGATGGTTACATCCCTAATTTAAGCGATGAAATCGTCAGTGTGGCTACATCCCCGACATTTGCCTGCTAGATCCCTTTTCTTCACTCATGAAATCTCCATATTTGATAGCCAAATCCATATTTTGCTTTGCGAAATCCCTTTTTGGATGGTTAAAATCCCATATTTTTTCATGATTTTGATGGTTAAATCTCAATGGTCGATGCTTAAATCTCGACTTTTCGATAGTCAAATCCCAATTTTCTTTCGTGAAATGCCCATTTTTGATGGTTATCGATCAAACATCATCAACCATCATAAACCACATCATATCCATACATAAACATCAACATCCATAAGCCATAAGAAACACCGAGTAACACATCCAGCGACAGCTGATCAAAGGCTGGATCTCCACAGGTGCTGCCCTTAACGATTCGACCCAGGTGGAGGGCTGCCATGGCGTCGTTTTTCCGCCGGGTTTTTGGGGCACCCCATAGCCACTCACGGCTAAAAGCAGGGGAATACATATGAATAATTGAAAATTCCTGAGTTAGTTATATTCAGATTTATAAATTGAGGTATAACTATCTATATCTATGTAAAAATAGTTGTATTGACTAGTTACAAAATGAGCAGTGTTCAAAATCCGTCTGTGATTCCATCTTACTGGTTGGTTAAGAACGGGCTTCCCCATGCATGAAATGTGATAATCCCCTTTATCATGCAAAGGTACAATCCCCTGTGATAACAATAAACCAATGGAGGTTTTGAACGCTGATCATATAGCAAGCCCCAAACAGATGCCGAAAAGTGTTGGATGCTGATGATATTTACCTCATATTTTCCAGGTGTCCAACTGTTCTATCTATTTTGGGGTTGCTATATCGTCCATTCCCAATCAAATGTTGTTGCAACTCTGCATTCCGTTGGGAAGGTCAAAAAAGGTATTAGGGAATATTAAAATCCCACCCCCGTTAAACTCTACATTTGATTGGGAAGACCAAAAAAGGTAGTAGGGAATAGTAAACTCCCAGCCCCGTTAAGCTTTACATTCAATTGGGAAGATCAACACGGGTAGTAGGCAATATTAAAATCCCACCCCCTTTAAACTCTACATTCAGTTGGGAAGATCAACAAAGGTATGAAGGAATATTAAACTCCCACCCCCATTAAACTCATTGAAGATCTTCAAACAGGGTTTAAATCTCCAAACCCGTTGAACTTCTACATTCATTGATGATCTTCAATAAGGGTTTAATTCTCCCACCCCCGTTAAACTTCTACATTCATTGAAGATCTTCAATAAGGGTTTAATTCTCCCACCCTCGATAAAGTTCTACATTCATTGAAGATCTACGATGGGGGTTTAATTCTCCCACGTCCCACCCTCGCTAAACTTCTACATTCATTGAAAATCTCCGATAGGGGTTTAATTCTCCCACCCTCGTTAAAGTTCTACATTCATTGAAGATCTTCAATAAGGGTTTAATTCTCCCACGTCCCACCCTCGCTAAACTTCTACATTCGTTGAAGATCTACGATGGGGGTTTAATTCTCCCACGTCCCACCCTCGCTAAACTTCTACATTCATTGAAAATCTTCGATAAGGGTTTAATTCTCCCACCCTCGTTAAAGTTCTACATTCATTGAAGATCTACGATGGGGGTTTAATTCTCCCACCCCCGCTAAACTTCTACATTCATTGAAGATCTTCAAAAGGGGTTTGATGATGATGATGATGATGATGAAAATGACGATGATGATGATGATGGTGATGATGATGATGATGATGATGAAAATGATGATGATGATGATGATGATGACGATGACGATGACAAGGATGATGATGATGATGGTGATGATGATGATGATGATGATGATGATGATGCGTTGCCTGTCGTGGCTGCGGTTCCGGGCAAAGCCCAGGCATTTGCCGTATTACAATATCTATGTGACCAAACACCTTTCTGTGAAATATATTGTGATTGTGTACCCAACCGAAAGTGGTTTACGAAGAAACATGGGATCATTTGTGAAATGAAGATTCCAACCAAAACTATTTGGTTGATGGTTTAAACCTCATGACTCACTGGATACTTTCCCAAGCATTTTGCAAAAACGTGAAGATTACAGGAAAACTGCAAATGGAGGGATTGCGGTTTATAAAGTGGAAAACCACGCTTCTTGTAAATGTCAAAGTCAAGCTCTGCAGAAAAACATGGATATGTTGTGTTAAGAACCAGTCAGACACAGTCAGATGGCATTTATCAAGCTGGGTGTAGTAGAGGTACCACCTTTGGCAAAGTGTGCTTATAAATGTTTAGAACATGACCACCTGAATGCCTACAAAAAACGATGGAAATCCATGCAAATTGAACGTGATCCTCCCTTCTAGGATTCAAGCATGGGGGCCTAAGTTTGAAATATTTTGACGGATTTTTTCCAGGAAATCCGGAAGAAACTTCCCAATCCCGCCGAACTTTGGACGATCCCATGCCGAGCCTCGCATGCGGCCAGGACAGTCTCCTCCGGCAGAAGTGACTACCCAATGGAACCCTTGTCGAAACTGGTACTCAGTCGTGCGAGGGGTACAATGGGGAAAAGTGACTACACAATGGTAAATAATGGTAACAAACAATGTGATACTTGATGATATTTTGGTGTGTCTGATGATGGGGTGTACCCTCAATTCATGGCCATGTTAGGGACCATGACAGTGATGTCAAACCATGGGAGTCTGAGGTGCCCAATTTTCAGACAAACCCAACATTGACCCATACTCAACTCACAAATCACGTCAAGTCATTCTCCAACATTCATCAGCATTTGTTAACCATCTTGAAAATATTAGTCAATGGGAAGGATTATCCCATATATTATGGAAAATAAAATTCATGTTCCAAACCACCAACCAGTCATTCTAATTTTAGATGCATCAACGAGTTCCTGGCAACTCTCTCCACACTCGCCAAATCCGCTGGGATCCCAACCTTCCATCGAAAAACAAACGGTCCGTGGCTCAAAGTGGTTGAGCCACCCTGAAAAATGTGGAAAGTGAATTGGGATCATCATGGATCATCCTATTTCTGTTTGGGGTTTTCTTAAGTCATGGATAAAAAAAACAAGACACCATAGATTCTATTAGATCAACATATACTGAGTCATGGTCATGACAACTGGTGGCTGAAGCTCAATGGCTGCGGCATGCTGCGCCATGTGATTGAATGTTTGCTGATGACCAAGTCATGTTGAATATCAATGGAGTAATGTTTGTTGGAAAACGAGTGGAAACGGATATAATATTATATCAGGTTGATGACCAGTTATGTTCTGAATACAATGTCTATTGGAAGAAGTTACTTTTTTTCCTGTTCCATCCCATTCCATTCTATTCAGACAGTAATTGATGATTCCACCCCTGCTGAATGTGAAAGTGAAAAGAACGTAATCAAATACATCGAAACGGGTGAGTCTTGGTGTGAAACGTTCGCGATGTCATGACCGACATCCCAACATAAATCTGACTGAATACGGGTTGGGTCAAAACCAAGTTCGAACAAAATATGGGATGAACCTAATTTACCATTGTGTTGCCAGGACCAAATGGGTAGGAAATTACTTAGGTGATTTATTTATGTTTGATTTCTGGTCGTGCTCAGGTTGAGCTTATGTGGTGGTTTGGGTTGGTGGTTTGGGGGGTCTGGGAGATTTTGAGTTTTGATATATTTATTTTAGAATTTATGATGTTTCTTTCATGTTTGCTGGGGCATTGAATCATTTTGTTCGGTGTCCTGATACATCCAAAACTGATTTCTTTGATCTAGGTTTGACGGATGTTTCATAGAGTTTTTCCTTGGCCATATTCTGACATCAAACTCTATCAAACATCAAATCTGCAACAAACTTGTTAGAGAAATTTTTAGATATGGTTATTAAAGAGAATTTGGCCGGTGCGGTGTGGCCTTCTTCTTTGACACCGTTTTCATGCAGGTTTCCTGCCGGTTGCAGGTTGCTGACGAAAAAAAAACATGTCAGAAACCTGCATGAAAACGACATCAACACGACATGAAAACGACATCCCAAAATAGTTCAATTTACCAAAAACTAATCAGGAAAACAATTTTTCGCGATGTCGTTTTGATGTCGCTTTCATGCGGGTTTCTTGCAGGTTTCTGACATGTCCTTTTCTGTCAGCAACCTGCAGGAAAACTGCAAGAAAACGACAGACATCACGCCCCAGTTGAAGTTCTTGTCACAGAATCTGAGACCTCAAGGCCGGTACAGAATGGTTTTTGGTTACCATGTCGCGCGAAATTTTGACCTTTGGGCCACAGCCAGCTTTGTATCTTGTTGGGGCAAACTTGGGCCATGTTGGGCTCATGTTGGGCCATGTTGACTCTATATTGGGCCATGTTGGGTCTGTCTTGGGTCTATCTTGGGTCATTTGAAGGCCATGTTAATGTCGAGCCAACTAAACTAGCATATTCGGGAACATGCTGGTTTGGGGGTCCCCTCCAGCCAGCTTTGTTGAGCATTCTTTCTGGCATCTATTCTTCCATCTGACATTTTTTTCTAGCATTCTATCTGGCATCTATTCTGACATTCTATCTGCCATTCTTTTCTGGCATTCTACCTGGCATGTATTCTGGCATTTATTTTGACATTCTCTCTGACTGGCGCTCGCAGTTGAGGTCTGGCAGTGCCCACTGAGATCTGGAGCTCGCGGTTGAGGTCCGGAAGTGCCCACTGCGGTCTGGAGCTCGCGGTTGAGGTCCGGCAGTGCACACCGAGATCTGCCGCTCGCAGTTGCGATCCTAGGCTGCCGAAGGAGACGGAGGAAGAAGGAAGGAAGGAAGGAAAAAGGAAGGAGAAGGCAACTGTAATAAAATCTAGAGACCCTCACCTGGCAGCTGGGGAACGGAAGACAGAGCAGCAAAAAAGTAGAGAAGCAAAGCAAACAAAGAAGCACAAAAGAACAGAAACAAAAAAGCAGATAAGCGAAAACAACAAACAAGCGCAGAAGAAAATAAAACAGAGAAGCAAAAAAGAACAGAAGCAAAAAAAAGCGAAGCAAAAAAGTAGCGAAGAAAAAAAGTAGAGAAGCAAAAAAGCAGAGAAGCAAAAAAGGAGAAAAGCGAAAAAAACAACAGAAGCAAGAAAAACAAAAAACAGAGAAGCAAAAAAACAGAAAAGCAAAAAAAACAGAGAAGCAAAAAAGCAGAGAAGCAAAAAGCAGAGAAGCAAAAAAGCAGAGAAGCAAAAAGCAGAGAAGTAAAAAAGCAGAGAAGCAAAAAAACAGAAAAGCAGCACAGTAGGGAGGAGGGAGGAATCCTTTAAAAAATCACTAAATTTCAGTTTGTTAGCACATATCTCATTTAAAAAATGAAAGTCTAAACTATGATGATCGTCAAAATCCCATCAATGTCCGTTTTTCCATTGAATACCCATTACTGTCAGT